GAGAGAATAAAGTCTTAATGCAGCCAACACATGGCCCCAGTGTAATAGAAGCCTTCATTTTCTAAAAATTCTGTGTGCGTAAGATATAACAGTACTCCTTAAGGATTTCATGAGCTAAATGCCTTCATTCTCCCCACAAACCCCAAAATAGATTTTTAATTGTATTTCCATGTATTGGACCTTAAATATCATAGAATGGTTTTGGTTGAAAGGTTTCTTAAAGATAATATAATTCTAGCCTCTCTGCTGTGGCTAGAGACACCTTCCACTAGACCAGGCTGCTCAAACCCATCCAACCTTGGATGCTGCAAGGGGTGGGGTATCCACAACTCCTCTGGGCAATCTCTTCCAGTGTCTCATCACCTGCAAAGTAAAGAACTTCTTCCTAACATCTAACCTAAATCTTTCATCTTTCAGTTTAAAACTGTTACTATTTGTCCTGTCACTTACCTGCCTGTATAAAATGTTGCAATGTTCAATTTGCAAAATGTTCAATTGGCAATAACTTTTCTACAACTCGTAGATAGATAAAATCATAGGATAGTCTCAGTGGGAAGGGACCCATAAAGATCATCAAAGTCCGACTCCAGTCCCTTCCCCAAAAATCACACTGTGTGCCTGAGGACACTGTCCAACATTTCTTGAACTCTAGCAGGCTGTGACCACTTCCTTGGGAGGATCTTATTCCTGTGCCTAACTACCTCTGGATGAAGAACCTTTTCCTAATATCCAACCGAAACCTTCCCTCACACAGTTTCATGCTGCTCCCTTGGGTCCTGTCACTGGTCATCAGAAAGAAGAGATCACTGTCTGCCCCTCCTCTTCCCCTAACAAGGAAGTTGTAGACTGCAATGACGTCTCACCTCAGTCTTACCCAGGCTGAACAGACCAAGTGACCTCAGTGACTTCCTGTGTGGCTTCCTGTAGGCCCTTCACCATCTTCATAGCCCTCCTTTGGATGTTTTCTAACATTGCAGCACCCGAAATTGCCCACAGGATTCAAGATGAGGCTGCTGCAGCTCACAGTGGAGTGGGATGATTACCTGCCTTGACTGCTTGGCGATGCTCTCCTAATACACCCCAGGACACGGTTGGCCCTTCAGGCTGCCAGGGCACACTGTTGACTCATATTCAACTTGCTGTTGACCAGGACTTTCCTACGTCCCTTTCCACAGGGCTAGCCTCTCACAGAGTCACAGAATCATTAGGTTGGAAGAGACCTGCAAGATCATTGAGTCCAACCGATGCCCTAATACCTTGACTAAACCATGGCACTGAGTGCCATATCCAGTCTTTTTTTAAGCACGTCCAGGGATGGTGACTCCACCACCTCCCCAGGCAGACTGTTCCGGTATTTTATTACTCTTTCCATGAAGAACTTTTTCCTAACATCCAACGTAAATTTCCCTTGGTGCAACTTGAGACTGTGTCCTCTCGTTCTGTTGGTTGCTGTCTGGTGAAAGAGATCAACCCCGCCTGATACAACCACCTTTTAGGAGGTTGTAGAGGGTGATAAGGTCACCTCTGAGTCTCCTTTTCTCCAGGCTAAACAACTCGAGCTCCCTCAGTGGTTCCTCTCAGGGTTTGTGTTCCCAGCCCCTCAGCCAGCCTTGTTGCCTCCTCTGGATGCTCTCCAGTGTCTCAAAGTCCTTCCCAAACTGAGGGGCCAGATCTGGACACAGCACTCTAGGTGTGGCCTCACCAGTGCCGAGTACAGGGCAAGAATGAGCTCCCTGCTCCTGCTGGCCACACCATTCCTGACACTGGCCAGGATGCTGTTGGCTTTCTTGGCCACCAGGGCACACTGCTGGCTCATATTCAGCCAGCTGTTACCACTATCCCCAGGTCCCTTTCTGCCTGGGCACTGTCCAGCCACACCATCCCCAGCCTGTAGTGCTGCAGGGGGTTATTGTGACCAAAATGCAGGACTTGGCACTTGGACTTATTAAACTTCATCCCATTGGACTTTGCCCATTCATCTAAACGTTCCAAGTCTCTCTGCAGAGCCCTCCTACCTTCCAACAGATCAACACACGCTCCCAGCTCCTTTCCCAGTCTGTCCACACTTCCAAGCTTGCCCTATTCCAGGTACAGGATCCAGCATTTTCCCTTGTTAAATTTCATGCAGTTGGTGATTGCTGATCTCTCTAATTGGTTCAAGTCTCTGCAGGGCTTCTCTACCTTCAAGGGAATCATTGAGAGAGGCCTCCCTTGGAAAGAAGACTTTCCTAGGCAGAAGTGCTAAAAGGAATAAGGATCTAATTAAATCATAAACATTAATCACCTTTTTCGCCAACATGAGAAATTTTTACACTCATGCTATAATAATTTCAATGCTCATTCTAGCTGCCAGAGGAATATTTTGTAGGGAAAGAATGAATAAATGGAGTTGTAATAGAAAAACAAGTCTATTGGGTTTTTTCTTCTAGGTGTACATGTCTACTGTTGCAGATGAAAAGATCCCTAAAAAAGCAAGGACTGTGTAACAAAGTTCTATTTGCAAAGATATAGTCTAGAAAACTACTCAATGGAAAAGAGATGAAGGAATGAAAATAATTTCACTAAATCAATTTAGTGACCCAACTGATGATGTCAGCCACATGCTGTTTGTGCTGGGTAAGCATTTGCATGCAACAGCAAATGCTATCAAAACTAGCATATCACAGAACTGGACTCTGGCACAGTAGCAGAGTATAAATTAACTAGTCCAAATTTTAAGGTGGCTCATACTATCATAACAGCAAATCTGCTATGAGATTACTTTGCTGTGACTCACTTTCTCCAAGCAGAAGCAGCATGGTATTAAGGAATCTGTTTGAAATGACACAGGGGAATTTAGTCAGAGCAAAAGTCAATAATTTTCTTTTGAATTGAGGCATTACCTCATAAAATAATTATATTCTTTTTTTTACATGTATCAGTTAAATTTGGGTTAAAATTGCATGCCAATATGTGTTATTTACATTATCAAAAATTTCTTTGGTAATAGTAATTCATCTTGCTACACATACTGACTCCAGTATAAATAAAAGAAACATTTCTCTTTAGCAACAGTAATAATTATGCAGTGGGATCCATAGTTACTGGCAGCCTACCCCTGCTTAAGAAATCGATCATTAAAACCATCCAGAACAATTACCAACTATATGGCTTTATATATTATTCTATATTACCCATTGCTGTGTCTAACTACTGTAGATTTTTGTCTAAGAAACTTGTCCATTTAGGAAGGACTATAAAGGAGATTCCCTAGAAATCTTCAAAGTAGCACAACAGAGTTACGTGGCATTGCTGTGCTCTGAGCAAGGCACTGGCAAGGGTGCCAACCCAGTGCCCACTGCATTCTCTGCTGACACAGCATGCTTTTCATTAAAAAGCAGAGTTCTTTCTCCACCTATTTATTTAAAGACCTATGGCACCTTCTGAGGCAATAGAAGCTTGCCTATCTACCTTCACCTGGTACTAAATACTTAATTTGTCTGACCAAGAGCAGTTGTGCTGTGCTGCAGAACTGGAAAGAATTGTCCTCAGTCTTACAAAGTTCTGCATTTCTTGATAAGAGAACAAAGTACATTTGACACAAGTTTTTAAAGGAAAGGTCCTTTTAAACCCTAGCTATTATAGTTAAATATGGGGGATATCCTGCTAATCAAAGGACTTTCTTTGTAGACTGTGATGTTGAGGAACACATTTAGTGCAGGCAGCTGGGTGTGCAGCTGCAGGACAGGTGCAGATTGAGCTCTGGCTGTGAACCTGAGACAAGAGGCAGTGAGCTGCTGTCCCTTCGCATAACAGAGGGACTGAGGACCTGCAGCTCTGAGCAGGTGACACGCAGAGGACACTCAGAGACAAGGCAGGAACCGATGGCCCTGGCCCCAGACTTTTGAGCACTTAGACAGAGAGGGTATAAAACCTCAGGGTTTCCTTTTCTCCTCCTCAGAGGCGCCCAGCTCGATCTGTTATTTGTTGCAACACAGTTAAATTACTTCAAGGAGCCAGACCCCTGAGACTCTGCTGTGGGGAAACCTGGTGTTGAGCTGGTAGGGAAATCATCTTCTGACCGTGTGAGTGTGGGATGTGCAGGCAGAAAAGAGAGGCACCCATCAGCTCCCTGGAGCCCGCTGGGAATGGGCCTCAGTCCCAGCTCAAGTGGTGCAGGTCTGACTGCCACAGTGGCTCTTGGCTGGGCAGACATGAAACTTTAACACTTGCATTGAGTTTACATAAGGAAGAGACTTGCTGGGTGTGATGTCCTCCTTCAAGTGGCACAGATTTTGATGGGGAAGGTTCCTTGGAAGTTCGTGGCTCTCCAAGAAGGAGAAATGTTTAGATTACTTAATTACTTCTAGCACAGCCAAGAGAGGTAAAATATATCACTAAGAAACTAAGATTTATAAAAACATGCTGTAAACTAAGTTGTTCTGTCAAGCAGAGAAGAAGTATAGTGAAAGAGACTAACTACACTAGTGGAGTTTGATTTTGCTCAGTGTTGAATTAATTTTTACAAGGACTGTGTGTGTCAATGCTCTATATCGAAATAGGAGGTGTATAATAATGTGTTTTCTTCCATGTAAACTTAGGAAAGCTACTTAATTTCTGTGTCTCTCAGAAACAACTCTTAAGAGACAAATCATTGTCACAGCTATTTTGTTCTAACTGACCCTGGAATGTTTGGGGTCTTTTTTCCCATTTGTTTGTTGTTCTACAATGTTTTTTCACAAAGGTTACCCAATAGGTAAAAGGATTAAGAACATTAATTTATTTACATAATGGTGGAGGGGAAATTTTTCTAGCTGTGAAAGGAAAATGTAAATATTTTACAGAATGGATTACTATTGGCATCTGTATTTTAGTTCATTAGGTTGTTTTTTAATAACTTCAAACCTTATAGTGTGACATTTTTGGTTAGTTGAGGAGTTGCTTATTAAGTTAGCTATCTTCCTTTGTCATGCCCTAACATGGTAGAGCTTATTGTGTTACTTTTCTTTTGGCTATTTCAGGTATGAACACAAGCAAGAGCGAGACAGTGAAAGAGCACCCATTAAAACCTTCTAGAAGATCTATGCCATGCCTCGCCCAGAGCCAAACACATCCTCAGAGCCTGAGCAAGCATTCATCATTTCTGCAGCCAAATCGTGTGCAGCCCCAGCTCCAGCCCCAGCCTTTAAGTGCAGGGACATCTGCAGCTGCAGTGGATGCAGTGTCAGAAAGAGGTAGGAGATTCTTTTTCAGGAGTTCGTTCCAGCACTGGTAAACTCTGATTTATTTAGATAGCTGCAGTTCGTTGAAGAAACGTTTTTGCACAAAACACCTACACAGTACCGTATTAACAGGTTCTTGACTGAATCTTTGTAATGTTTGAAGTGAGTTTCAAACTAATTTTTATCTTTCTCAATGATGGCATTATTTCCTTCTCAGTGGTAATAAGGCAAGAAAGCCTTGCTCATTTATGCTGGAGAAAAGTATGAAGGTTTCTATAGTCTGTCCTAGATGAGAAAGAATAAATATTAGGCTTTTGACAAAAAAAGTCTTTATATATGAACACGTAGGAGGAGATACATTCATTCACAAACAGTAGAAATCAGGGAAGAGTGGTATGAAAAGAATGAGAATGTATGGAGAAAATCCCTCCAAATTTTAGCTTGTGTGGAATAAGGAACTACTTTTATTTTAGGATTTCTAATTTAACATGTACAGATGCCTTATCAGGGAAACTAGTCTAGTTGGAATCTCACTGTGTGTCCCCTGTGGCCAACTATTGCCATCCTCTATTGCCAGATGTGTGTGAACCTTTGTAGAATAAACTCATCTGGTAATAGATTTTGTAAGTCTTTCCTTAATGTTGGTAGACACTAGGCACTAATTATTGTTCTAGTGAGGTATTTTATTGAGTTAAACTTCACTCAGAATGGACTGAAAGTCTTCATTAAAGTGATCTTGCTCTTTTTTCTATTGATAGAAAATGCTCTTCAACATTTCAGTCCAAAGTTTTTTATTTGAATTCCTGACAGCTTTAAAAAGTTTTTTACAGTAAAGATTTTTTTTTGCTTACAAAATGCATGTGAATGCTGATACAGATATTGCATTTATTCCAGATAAAGTGATGGAGACTTTGGAAAACAACTTGCTTAAGCTGTCTAATACAGAATATGGTGATCCATTTTTAGGTAAGTTGTTGTCTGAACTGAAATAACTGAAATGACAAATTAATGATTCTTTAAGTATTTAAGTGTGGAAAGGACATACTTGTGCTGAAGTTCCATTTTTTTTGAAAGAGGAAACTAAGTGTGACTAAAAAATGTGTGCTTTCATAAATATCCTGATACTGTCTCACCTTTTAGACTAAAAGTAGGGACTAAAGATAGAGAAGTGTTGTACATTCAGTGTATCCTTTTCCCATAACAATCTTTCATAAACCAATCATTTTGAACAATGTACTTGATATTCCTTTGAAGTTATTATTACTCACTCATTTTTCTTGTGTAGTTATGTCATTCACTGTTATTGTGGCTGCAGTTCTATTGTTGTTTTTGTTTTTAGATATTTTGTGTATTTGCTTTAGGCATTTACATATAAAAAGCATTATAATTTGGGAAGAAAAAAAAATGCAGAAAAGAGCCGTATTTGTACTGCCTTACTATCATTTTGATATTGTAATTAAGTCAAAATAAGTAGGAAAGAAGTAATTCTTAGAATAATCCCAATCCTTGTGACTGCAAATTGAATCTGTAAATATACACATGGACAGTAATTTGCAAGTTCCAAGATAAAGTAGTTTTGAAATTCCCTGGCCATTTATTTTACCCATGCAGACACAAAGATATTGCTGCACATTGCACAACTACTATGGAAGATATTTTTGCTCACAGTTGATGAAGCATCAAACTAGAAATCATATCTTCATGCTGAATGAAAGATATAAGCTTTCAGAAATCTAGGTCTGCTCACCTCTCACATGATTTAACATTGACTTTTTTTGATACCTAAAATATATGACAGGTAGGAGGCTTCTCAAGGTTTCTTGGATAGGTAACTACTGGAAATTGATACTTCTGCAAAACCAGATATTCCAAAATCATGACACAGACCAAAAATTTTGCATGAAAATTATATAAGAAAATCATATCTTAATAAGGTTCCAGTTAAAGCTGCTGCACTTTCCTAGTGTAATTGGGTGGCAAACATGGATACTAGAAAATTTTACTGTTATAATTTCCTTCTTTAGATTTTTTTTTTTTTTAATATCCTGCTCTGTTTTTCTCTGAATTTCTTACACATACACATGCTGATATTGTTGTGCATTTATATATGTCAGCAGTAATTCTTTCTGCTTTCTCATAGTAAACGATTCTGTTTGTCATTCACATTACTTAGTTTTATCCTGAAAAGATACATGGAGGGCTCAGGAACTGTGGAAAAGATAAATTGATTCTTTTCAGTTCAGAATTGTATTAAACATTGGTATGGATGTTTCTTCTCTTCTGACTACAGCTATACTCGTGAAAGAAAAATAAAAAATATTTAAATAGTTGCCCTATACTTACCCGATTAATGAATTTGCCTATCTTGAGTCTATCCCAAATTAGATAAGTGAAATCTGTGAAGTTATGCTGTATTTATAGAAATGTAACTGATTAGCTTATTTAGTTACAAGCAAGAAAGAAAACTGTATTTAAAAATAAATCCCAGAGGTCAGTAGTAAGAATTACCTTATTTTTATATCAGCATTATCAGTTAGATTTGTGAAGAGAAATAAGGGACAGTTAAAAGGTGCATGTCACAAAATGGCCTGTGGACCTTCAAAAAACAGTTTGTTGCTGCTTTAGTATTGTGTTTATGTGGGTAAGAATTTGTCTCCAAGTCTAAAATTTTCAATTTTATCCTGAATGTGGATGTAGGTGGGGAGGGGAAGTCAAAAATAAACCTGAAAAAGGAATATTGCAGCTTCAACTTGAATCACCAGTTGGGTTAAAACAATGCTTTTGTAGGTACTCTGGCAGTTTAATGGAGTTTCAAAAGCAGGCTGATTAATGGGTATCATCATCTTAGTGAACATTTTCAAACTGCCCTCCTGGGTACATGGAAGAAAGCTGAATTAAGTGAATGTGGTAAATTTTTAATTAGGCAGTGTTTTAGAAATGTAGGCCAAATGGTATTCTCCTCTTTCTGAATTGTTTGTGGACAAAATTATCTTATGTGAGGGAGATTAAGAGGCATTAAATAAAGGACTTCAGTGGATAGCTTCTCTTTTATTTCAGTTGCCTATAGATGAGGCCATAAATCTGTTGAACAAGTTTAGTTAATGATGTTAATGGATTTATGAAGTAAAAAGATAATATGTTATGTCTTTGTTAATTACACAGGTAAATGGGATCAAGGACATTATGGATTTATGTTATTTTTTCCTCTGTCAGTTTTAGGTGTTAAGTGGTGTTTTTAGTTTGAGGAATCAATAATTTCAACCAAAATGATAGGCATTGAGCTTCTGTAACATAACATGAACTTTGAGGTTTCTGACATACTGGAAAGCCCCTCTTCCTGACTCACCCACTCCCCTCCCACCTCTGATGGGAGACAAAGAAGGTGGAAATTACTGGGTTGAAATAAGAACAAAAGTAACACTCAGTAGCAAGTAAAACATCACTAAATAATTTATTCCTTTTTCAATTCTGTTTTCTTCCCCGAGCTTACGTGAGTTATGAGGATTTGTGCATAATAACTCATCTGTCTTAGCAGGACATGAAATCCTTCCAAGCTAATTAACAATTTTGCTGTGACAGATACCTTGTATTCTGAATGTATCATGAATCCAATTACTACAAAGTTTATATATAAAAAAACTCCGTATTTATGTACCATGCTGCAATAGAGTGAGGTGACAAATGAAGAGCTGAACCAAAACTAACAATCCAACAAAGAATCATGATAACCGCATGATAAAAACTTTTTGTCAGTGCTCAATTATAGAAGTGTTTGTAAGTCAATTTTGTGATGTTATGATAAATTGAAATGGACAAATATATATGTATATATACATATAACCTGTGCAATATATACAATGTTTACATAAAAAAGAGGGACTGAAAGATCACAGAAAAGGATTTGAGAAAACCAGGTTCAATTTCTGCTTCAACAGAAATGTGATGTTTCCATTATGCCTTCTAGAATAATTTTTTTGCAAGTTTGTGGGCAGTGCCTGCATAAATAAGGGCATCTCTTCTGATTGTGGAGTGAGATGGCCAAAAAGCTGCATTAGAACAGTTTGTCCTACACCCAGAGGTGTCAAGCTCTGTCCATATTAGAGCTGGTTGACACCTGGAGAGCTGGATGGATGTATGGATGAAGAAGCTATGTCATCTATTCAGCGCTCATTGGAACATAATAAGGATTAGGTTTTGGACTTATTGTTGCAGTTCAAAATTTTGATGTGTTTTAGGCATTTAATCTGGCTCCACCAGTTTTGTACACCATTTTAGCTCCTCTAAAGAGCAATAATATATGACTGGCTCCCTTTTTAAGAAATTAGAAATATTCTGTGTAACAGTTACCACTGTCTGGAAGTCTGTAAGAAATTGTAGATTAAGAAAAGTCTGTGTTTGCCTGTTATGATAGTTTTTCATATCTGAATATAAATGCACAGGTAGATGAAAACCTTTCTATGTTATCTGAACAGTACGGTATTCCAGGTGCACAGCAAAATAAAATAGGACCTAAATCCATCAACATGTAATTTATCTAGATTTCTAGATTTTCTGATTTATCTGATGTTCTTCCCCAGATTACTTGTTTTTTTCTAGAATGTAAATTAGGACAAAAGGGGATTATTTACTTGACCAATAATCTCTTTCTTACTAAAGCTTTGCAAAGCCTATCCTTAAATGTGTAAAAGCTCGAAGGATTGAGTAGAGTCATCATATCAAAGTTTGTGAAACAGAAACTATTTAAGAATTTTTATATTAATTTTCCTTTCCATAACTATGCCACATTTCAATTGAAAAAGATTTGCTACCATACACTACTGTGTATATATAAAATTTATCACTGGATTATTACATATTATAGAGAAATCAGGACAAATGATTCCCTGTCATAATATTAAAATGCACTCTTGGCCCTAACCAAGCAGTTAAGAAGACACAAAAAGAAAAATTCAAAATGTGGAGTTTGTTATCTATTTATAAAGTAAATACTTAGGCATTTTTGTGTAAAGGAATTCCTGAAATGAAATTGTCTTGAATGTTTTATCATGTAAGTAACCTTATAGGGCAAATCTTACTGTCATGCATTAAGTGTCGCCAAATTATATGACAGAAAGTGTTGATAGGCTTTTGTGATGTTTGAAGACTGAAATTATTCATCCTGTCTATTTATAACAAGACAGCAAAACAAAGCAACTGCTAGGATGAAGAGATCTGTTATCTGCTTAATTAATGCTTGAATCTTTTTCAAATCACTTTATACTTGATTGTGGATCCCAGGTAACATTATTTAGTTACATGTTCTGTTGTTTTAACAATTATATGGGTGTATCTGCTTTAAGTTTGTACTTAATTAAATGAAATCTTTGACATACTGAATTGAATACTGAAATTCCCACTGACTTTATTGAGATTAGATTTGGACTCTACATGTAGAATTAGAAGCTTAGAACCCTTGTCTCTGATTTATAGCCTTCTCCTTATTTGCAATTCAGCCTTTTTAATACATCAGCAAGATGCTATTAGTTGGCTGTACTAATTTAAAAATGTACTATAGTTGCTTTGTATTGCAGTACTGCAAGCACATAGTCTTTTAAATGTAAGATTTTGTAAAAAGATTGATGTTTAAATCTTTCTCCTGTTAGTAGATACTCTGAAAACTCTCATAAAGGGGTATTGTAAGGGATCATGCACATAGTGTTTGCTTCAGTGAGAATATTTTACCTGAACAGTGTATTGGGTTTGTGTGGTAAGCGTTAGGTAGCTGGGTGAGGCTACAGGGGTGGCTTCTATGAGGAGCTTCTAGAAGCTTCTCCTGTGTCTAGTAGAGTCAATGGCAGCTGGCTCTAAGACAGACCTACTTCTTGGCAAGGCTGAACTCATCAGTGACAGTGAAGTGCCTCTGGAATAATTGTTTGAAGAAGGGAGAAAAAAAATACACAATGGTGACTTCAACTGGAACAGAGATTATCTTGCAAGACCATGCTGAGGTAGACTGTGCCCCTGCACCCCATGGAGGTCCATGGTGGAGCAGAGAGGCACCAGGAGCTCATGGAGGACCCCATGGTGGAACAGGTTACAGCCTCAAGCCTGTGGGAAGCCCATGGTAGAGTAGGTTCATGACAGGACCTGTGGAGAGAGGAGCCCAAGCAGGTTTGCTGGCAGGACTTGCGATCCTATATTAGGGCAGTCTTTTCCTGAGGGACTGTACCCCATGTAAAGAACCCACACTGAAGCAGTTCATGAAGGGCTGCAGCCTCTGAGAAGGACTCATGTTGGAGCAGTTTATGGAGGACTGTTCTCAATGGAGGAACCTCATGCTGGAGCAGGTGAAGACTGTGAGGAGTTCCCCCTTAAGGAGGAAGGAGAAGCACAGTGTGTGAGTGATGGATTGACCACAACTCCCATTTCCCATCCTCCTGTGCTGCTCCTGCAAGAGGAGATCAAGAACTCAAGAGTAAATTTAAGTCCAGGAAGAGGGCTAGTGGGAAAGTTTAGCTTCATTTGTCATTACTCTCCTCTGAACTTACTGGTAAAAAATTGAGTTTTCCTCAAAGAATGTCTTTTGACCATAGGGACTATAGGGATAAATAGGGACTGATCTCTCATTGTCCTTACCCCTGCTCAGGAGCATGTTGTATTTGTCTCTTCCCAGTTCTGCTGAGGTGTGGAGTGACAGGATGTCTTTGGTTGGTACCTGGCATCCAGCTAGGGTCAATCCACCACAGCAGACATAAAAAAAAAAATTCTGCAAGGTGCTCAAAACTAAAATATGAGAGTGGTTAAGAATGAAGGCAAATGTCCTTTTGATGTCCTTGTTGGTTTGAGGATATAGGCATGAACACACGAGTTCTATCCTCTATTTCCAAGTCCCCACTGCAGCAAATTTTTTTATTTTTTCCACCAGTTATGCTTCTCCATCTCTCTTTTCCTTTATTCTTTATATTTCTTGAGGTTTTGCACAATCTCAAAAATTTTAAGGTAACTCAAGATACTCCATTTATTTGGGCATTAATGTAGGGAGGTTTTTAACCAGGTGTCTCCCCCAACAGGTCAGATTTTTTTTTTAATTTTTATTTTTGGTCCTGCAGTAGAGGAGAAATGGAAAAGTGCTTTGCTAACACTTATTACCCTTTTTTCTGATTTTATAATATTTTTACATTGGCTAAAGGTTTTTTGCCTTACTGAATTATTAACTGCAGTGTAGATTAACTAGAAGCTAAATACAGCACATCTGCTCAGCTGATGTATTTCAACACATAAACATTGATCCTGGATATTTTGATAGAGTAATATTTTAGTGATTAGACCCACACAGTTTGAATCAGATCAAGCTCTGTAAGGAGGAAAATTAATAAAATCCAACTAAACATGCTCAAGAAAAAAATTGTAGGGGCTTGCAAATCCACTGTTACATACAAATGGGACATTCCTAGCTCATGTCTTTCAGCTGTGCCCAGCAAAACACAAATGGGGTGGCATTTATTAACAGCAGCAAAGAAAACAGAATCATACAATGGTTAGGGTTGGGAAGGACCTCAGTCATGATCTAGTTCCAGTTCCCCTGCCATGGGCAGGGACACCTTGCACTGGACCAGATTGCTAAGAGCCCCATCCAACCTGGCCTTGAACACCTCCAGGGATAAAAAGTCCACAACCCCTCTGGGCTGGGCAGGTGAGTAACAGCTGAGGTCTCGTTAGGACTTTCTGTCAATTGGTGTAAAAATCCTGAGCTTCTACAGCAGTATGAACTGGATCTTTTCTTCCTCATGCTAGTTTGAAAATAAACCCATAGGAGAAATGATCCCCACACAATTCCCTTGAGAGGGATTTCAGGTCAAAGTTACAATTTAGTAGAAAGATTACAATAAATGAAATGATACAGAAAATCTGGCTTTGACCCACAAATTCAGAGTACAGCCTGTCAGCCTGTGGGTCAGGGTGGTGGCTACAGTCCAATTAAATAGTGATTGCAGTCCTGTGGAAGTGATGGTTGCAGTCTTGTCAAAAGTGGTGGTTCTTGTGGAAGTTCTGGTCCAGCCCTCGCTCCCTCGAGTGGTGATGCTGGGAGTGTCCCAAGTCCCCTGTTATAAATGCTCAGGTCCCAGCAGGAATGCTCAGTACCTCCCCCAGGGTGGAGAGTTTCTCAGTGGAATGATGTAATCCTATAGGATATTTTTTTGAGTCCTTGGTAGTCATTGCAGCTGCCTGTTCTGCCAGTGCCATTCAGTTCATTATGGCCCATTAACACACATGACCCCCTCAGGATGGGTGGGACTGTGCTGCTGCTTCTCTGGAGGGAGTTATCATGGCTGAGTCACTAGTGTGGAGAAAAAGAAACATTGCCCTGCCTTTCCCAGTTAGCTCTTTTACCTTATTTAACACCCAGTTGTAGCCTGGGGGGTTGGGTGAGCATTGGGCATCTACTGTGAACAGCACATCGTTAACATTTTGTCAGGAATGATGTGTAGGGGAGTAGAATATACAGTTTGCTTACACCCCACATTGGCACTCTCCTTCTGTAACCCAGGACATTCCTATGACTGCTTGCCTACCTAGTTTCTTTTCCAAGGTCAAGGAGACTACTTGTGATGGTTGCCAACAGAACTTATCCAAGAAGTACAAGAATAGAGAGCACTGGCAGCTGATCTCGACAGTAACAACCAAATGGGTTGTCATAGGCCAGGGAAGACATGATGGAAAATAAAAATGCAGTAAACAGTAGCTTTCCCACAGTGCTGAGATAGAGAGAACTTCAGGCAGTCAAACTTTTCTCATGACGTTTTGTAGAGCTGCAGCCAAATGAGATCTATGTTTTAATTAAAAGATGGATACTTATACTGCATATCAAATAGTCTTAGTCCATATCATTGCTTTTGGGATAAATTACATTAAAAACATCCTTGAGCAGCACAACTCAAGACACAAGATCCAGGGATGCTGTCTTGGTTGGCATCATGGCAATCCCACATGGAAGATGAAATACACAACCAACTAACAGAGATTATGGAGGAAAGGATGACATGAAATAGTACTACTTTATAGTCAAACATGATATAAAAATGTCATAGAAGCTTAGAAACTGCAGTTATTGAAGAAAGTCCCAAGGACTAAAATCACTGTGCATTTAGTATGAAATTATCAAGGGAACATTTTGTATAATCATTATGTAGTAACTAAAATGAAGATGAAATAGTGCTCAGTAAATGTTCTGGCTTTTAATATTCCATCTCAGAAATGCGAAATGTTTAGGCTGCGTGAGATAATTGTGGTTAATTTTTTATTTTTTTAAAATTCCTGTACTATTTAGTGTAGAGAATTTAACTGAACAACTTCATGAAAGATACTTAAGTATTGCAGATGAACTTTTATGAATTTAAAATCCATGAAATTCAAGATTGTGGCTGCCACAGCAACCACGACTCTTTTCTTGGCTTCTGGTTAAGGTTTTGAATTACTGAGCTAAATGCTGTTCCTAGTCCACCTGACTTTTCCCATGTTGATGCAAAAGCTGAGATGGGAACTTGACTCAGGATTTGTGGGTAAATTTTTTGTCTGAGTATGTTTCTTTTTCCAATTTGTCCAAGATAATATTGTGTGGCAGTGATTATTCCATCTTTTTAATCTTAAGCATACTTTTTCAAGACAGGCCATTTTCCAGCATTCATTAAAATGTTACAGGCCAACACTGGACAGGCATTGCCCTTCATTCTACTCCTGCTGGGTGTATAGGGCAAATATTGTCATGATTCTTTGATGGACAGTATGGGTAAGCTCTGAGGCAGGTCCTCAGTTTCCTGCAGCTCTCTTAGGGCACTCAGCTAAGTTTTCAGAAAAACTTTAGCTGTGCAATTTAATTTAGGCAATTCAAACCAAATCCAATGACAAGACGAAAACTTCCTTCATGAAAGGCCTTCTATCTTCTACCACCACCACCAGGTATACACCAATTAAAATGTCTTCTGAAGCACATACTGCAGTATCCTAATGTGCAAATTTTCAAATGCTTTATCTGCATGTGTGTAGGGGAATTGGGCATTTCTTGTTGAAATCTAAAACATGAGATGTTACTTTGGTCTCCAGGGTGTGCCACCTATTTGGTGGAATATCTTAAGCCTCAACAACTGTGAGTCAAGCAGTTGAATATTCATATTACTTTGTTTTTTAAAATTACTGTGAAGGAGGTTATCAACTTTTTTATTTGAATGCTAATAAAAAAACCATTTCTATAGACCTACAAAAAATAGCAGTCACTTCTAGCTTAAGATAAACATGATAACATTTCAAGTATAAAGCTTTATCAGGAAAAGAAATACGTTATTAAAAAGTGTATACATAAAATGAATATTCAACTGTGGCTGTAATAATGCTGTTTATTTCTGCCCACTATAATCTAAAATGAGCCCATTGTTTTCTTCTGGTTTTCCTTCAGATGTAGGAAAGGACAAAGATACATATACAGATGATTCAGAACATGGGAATTATGATGCTCGTACAGATCAGTCATTGCTTATTCAAAATAAGCTCACCAGGCAGAAAACAGAACCTCGAACTAAATCATCTTTAAAGGTAATGGACACAAAATTCTATGAAATTGTATCAACTGTCAGAATGTGCTTAAGTATTTTTAAAATGCGATTTTTAAAGCACTATATATGTTGCAGCCTAAGTAAATAGGTGTCTCATGGTAAGAAATTTAGGTGGCTTCCAAATTGTTTGAAATGGTAAAACTTCTAAAATAATTTTAGTTAATGGTTTTAATTAACTTTTGATTAATTGCTTTAATTAATCATGAGCAGTGTGTTAAGTCTTCAGTCACTTTCAGTTAGCATTTAACAAAGTTGTCATGAGCTGCTGTTGTGGGAACACAACTGCATAAAGTACTGAAATTAGTTTTGTTAAATTAAACTTGATATGCTTCAAAGAAGAAAACCTGAGAGAAGAGAGGTGTATTGTTGAAATTGGATACAAGGAGTGCAGAATTTATGGATCACAAGGTCATTTTTCAGAAACTAGAAGATAAAGAAGAGACTAAGTATGTGGGCTGGAAAGCCCCTCCTGAAAGAGAGATACTAAAATTATTAAAAATATGGACTAGTTAAGATGTGCAAAGAGAACTAAATAAGCAACAGAGGATAGAATATTAGTTAATGAAAGAGAATTATGTAATTTAGAACTAATGAACACTGATTTCTTTGCTAAAAATGTATAAATAGGTTATAAAGTTTTGTATCAATTTTTATTTGGAGGCTGGAATTTTGTTGGCAACACACACACCTCATCACCAAGAATAAAGTAATGCCTTGCATGCTAACACTAAGAAGACAATGTTAGAGGATTTTATTTATCCTGATGATTTTGGAGGGTGTTAGTAACAATATTATAGTTTGAGTGACAGAATCAGTGAATGGAATTCTCTGAACTAAAATCAAGCAAAATGTTATAAAATCAAGGATTCTTATGTTTTTTATTGACTCATCTAAGAGGCAGTAGCCTTCTCTCTATTAATTTATATTGCACAGAATTTAGGATATAGAATTCTGAGCATGGGGTGGAATCCATGTTATCTGGGAGGCCTCAGAAATTTTGAGAGTGTAGAAGAACTATGTTCATGTAGCAAATGGTCAGTCAAGAGTGATCTAGTTGAGTATAAGATCCTTCTAAGCAGTATCAAAATGATATCTAGACACATTGAATGGAAGATAGAATTCACTTACATATATGTGAGTGTAGGAGTATTTCAGGAACCTCAGCTAAAGCCATCACATCTCACCATGCCAGATAAATCTGGCATGCTATCTTGCTTAGTAATTACATAATTATACTATTCATTACAATGCATTTCTTCCAGCAGTTAATGCACTATAATGCCAAAGAATTATGATGGATTTTCTATTCAGAATGTGTATCTTTTTTTTAGTCATACTTTCAACTAGGAGACCCTTAATTCTCCTCTCCATTAAGCATAATTGCCTCCATACATATGACAAATGGCTTAACCTCAAGAAGTTCTGAATAATTTTCTTCTTCACACACTGGAAATAGTGAATTCTGCAGCATAGGGTTTTTTACCAGTGATTCTGTGATTCTTGGTATGTGCCTGTATGCATCAGTAATCCTGTATTACAAATCTAGTAATGCTTGAATTACTGTAAGCTTCTATCCTGTGTGCACAGCACGTGTGGTGTGTTCTTTATGAGACCATTATAGAGCTCTTTCCTGGATTTTATTGGTCACTTTGTGATTTTAGCACTGAATGCATACTTCATACTTATGTCATATAACAGTTCTAATGCTCATCACACTCATCATCATAACTACAGTATTCTGGAACATAGGTAGGTGTGACCTCTGAGACTTCATTTCTTAAGATGCTTTTAGAAAAAACTTTTATAGCAGTAGCTATCTACTAGTTTTTGAATAACCTTAGAGATAATTGTATTTACAGGTTGGAAATCTGTGACATGAAAATGAAACTTCAGGAATGACATGTATGAAATGTATGTCATATATATAACCTTTCCTGGGTTACATTTTCATGTCACAGATTTCCAACCTGTAAATACAATTTCCTCTAGAAAGAAAGAAAGGAATTAAGCTTCAGATGGGGTGAGAAATAAGGAGATACTTTAATAAGCTGAAATATTCTTTTTGCTAAAACTATAGAGATGGACAATAGTGTTCTGAAAAACTCCTTTAATTCATGAAAGAGTATTTTGGAGGGAATAGAGTATTTCAAAGTGTGGATTTAAGCAAATGGTGAAGTAGTTGTGATCTTATGTGATACTAGAACAGAAACAGAGAAGTGAGAGTTGTTGAAAATTTGTAGCCTTTAAGAGGCAAAGAGAAAACTTCCGTTTCCAGAGGCTCACAGAGACAGATGAAGAGAACTTTTGCCTTTGAATAACTCATCCTTAAAATGACACCCCTTGACCCATGACCCATGACACACTTCAGAGTGATGTGAAATGGGAGGAGAAAACTGATGACAGAGTTTACCGGGCAGCTGGCGTCAGAGAAATAGAAAACCATAGGAAAATGGTTTTCTTGTGAAAAACTCCATAGATTAGCAGAAGAGAACCTTTTCTCTACAAAGACTGATGAAGAGACGATAGCAAAGTTAGGACTGTTTTAGCCACCAAGGTTTTTTTGTCTCTATGTTGTCATGTGAACGAGAGAATAGTTGGGTAGTGGGGAAAAAAGAGTTCTGGAAAGTTTTATTCTGGTTTCTTATTCTTGTAGTTTTGTAAATAAACTTCCTTTATTCCTTTTAAGTTTTAAGCCTGTTTTGCTCTTGTTCTAATCCATATCTCACAGCAAGAAATAAGTAAGTTTTCTAGTGATTTTTTAGCTAATGCTTTAAAACCACAACACTTTCAAAGTTTAAAGAGGAGTTTCACGTTTGTATTAAATTGAAACAAAATATGCTTTTTATGTCTCAGTCTTTGTATGTACTGACCTACTGGACAAATTATTTCAGAGTTTAAGGACAGTCTTCTACAGGTGTATCTGGCTTTTTACTTTGACAATTCCTTTTATCACAGCACTACTCTGGAAACTTCCCTCTGCATTTAGAGGGACTGTTTTTGCAAATGAAGTGTTTTGGTTTAACCCCAGCTGGATTAAACCCAAAATTCAAAACACAGCCCTGTACCAGTTACTGTGAAGAAAATGAACTCTATCCCAGCCAAAGCCAGCACCTGAAGCAACCAAGCAGGATTCTTCTTCCCTTTACCTTTACCTGCTTCCACAGGAAAAAGGCAAGGGGAATTTAGATTAGTCTTATATTAAAAAGAAACACTACTCTTCTGCCTTTGGATTATTGTAGAAGTCTCTGTGGCAGTTAGTTTAAAAAAAACCTTAGGGAAACTTCTTCCCAAAATGGACACAAAGCTAGCAAAAGAATGCCTCTAACTCTTTCTGAGACTGCTGAAAGCACAGAATACTGCAGTACAGCTGGTAAGTACTCTCACATATTTGAAATGTAAACTGATCTGTCACAATAAAAAAATCTCCTCAGTCTGACCAGATAATGAGAAACACCTTGGCCAGGAGTACAAGGATAAAAGCATATTTTTCTTCTCTTCTTTTTAATGTTTCTAATTTTGGCTTGTTTTGGAAGACTTGTGTACTTGAGAGACTCAGGGAAAAATTGCTAAAAAATTTGTTTGCAGTTACTTCTTGGTGCCATGTTCTTTCTCAGCAATAACCTGCTTGAATACTTCAGCTCTAGTGAACATGTCTTGTGGGCATGATGAAAGCCAATACACATTTTTTTTCAGGAATTATTTAGTTCCAATTACATGCATGATACCTCCATAAATTTGATTCTTGTTGCTGCATTTTAAAGCTTTGGAAAATCAGATAATTTTCTTATAGCAACCAGTTGCCAATGTATTCATCTACTTTTCTTGTTTCCACGATTATGATTTATAACTCTAGTTTCCTATAGTGTAGGTTGGTATCATTTTAGAATCCACAAATTTCATATTGAAAAATTGTGAGTCTCTCAGACCCATGAAAAAGCTGTCATCGTTATCCGTCTCTGCCAGCTCTTCATCACCAGCTGCTTGTGAAATTGCATAGAAAATACGACTTCATGTATGTGATTCTGCCAAGGGGTCTGACAAGGAAGAATGAGGCCAAGTGTCTGTTGAGCAAAAATTAGTAGTGTCTGCTTTGCAAGGGAAATGTAGAAAATGAGAAGGTTCCTGAGTGGAAAGCTGATACTTGAAACGTTCCCTTAGGAAAGGGAAGCAGGCTTAAACAGACTTTATCACTTGAGTGGAAGGCAACATTTTTCCAGAGAAGCAGCAAAATAGCAGCCAATTCTTTACTTTTTTATTGCTATTACATGTATAGTGGCAAGATTGGAATATTTGAGGGATTACACTTCATTTCCTTCCATTCAATACATCACTGTTTCTTTCTTTGATCTAATAAATTTTGTATCTTGGTATTGCATTTTCCTATCTGGCAAGGTAAAGAAAGGATTTTTAGAACAAGGTTCACATTATTATCATCACTGTGCATTTAGGAACTATGAAGAAATGCTACCTATACAATAGCCTAATTTACTGCCTTTTTCTGGTAGTCCAAAATGCAGTCTAATAACACAGAAGAAAATAAAGCCTAAAAAAAATTATAACAAATAAAATAATTATCCCAGAATGGAAGGATGTGGTAAACTGCAGCAAAAGTTGACTTCATGTTTGTGCTTTTAGTGCTTGGCTCTCATTTCCTGTGAGATTTTGTTTGAAAAAAAAAAGCCAAAAAAAAAGCTCAGAAAATATTTCAGGAAATTCAGGGTAAGTAGCAAGTAAATGTAACCTAAAAACAAAAATATTTCAAAATACACATGTAAAGAAAAATTTTCAGTGGTTATGTTATGCTTCTTAAGACCTCCCTATTAGACCTCAAGAACAAATAGAAGAGGTTAAATATTAAAAAGCCTCCTCCTATCTCCAAACATCCTCCATTGCTACTCCCTCATATGGTAATATTGAACAGACCTCCTTTAAAATTTTTGCATATCACCTAACCCACTCCTTTCCTGAAGTCAAATATAT